GGGTGAGAAAGAGGAGAAATGAGGGGGGGTGAGAAAGAGGAGAATGGGGGGGTGAGAAAGAGGAGAAAGGGGGGTGAGAAGGAGGAGGGGGGAAGAGAGAGAAAGGAGGGGGGAGAGAGAAGGGGTGAGAGAGAAATTAGGAGGGGGGGTGAGAAAGAGAAATTGGGAGGAGGAGAAGGAAATTGGAGCGGGAGGAGAGATTGACATTCATCACATACACACAATGCACCCCTTGCACACAGAAAAACACACAATGCATTACACACACAGACACACATACACAAGCAATGCAACCGTTACACACAATGTATCCCTTACACACACAGAAACACACAATGCATTCATTACACACACTCAATGCACCCCTTACACACATTCAATGTATCCCATACATACACAGAAACACACCTTGCAGCCCTTACACATACAAACACAATTTCACACAATGCATTCCTTACACACATATCAGGACATCCCTTACACACTCCACCCCCTGTGAACAAACTCATTGGTGGAACATGAAGGTGGACCCTGGGACCCAGACCTTGAGCTGTGTAAAGGACCCCCAAAAAAATGGAGCTGCTTCCCGTTCTCCCAGAACATTGATTTTTGTGACCACAGTTACAAACCGCTTCCAGAGAGCCTGTTCTGCACCAGACCAGTGGAGCCAGACTGCAGCTAGAGCCCATCATCATCCTCATCTGGTTGTAAGTAGGCAATCTAGTATATTATTATTCGTGGCACTAAGCTCTAATTTACCTCACATTAAAGAAACACTATAGTCCCCAGAACCACTTCAGCTTAATGTAGTGGTTCTGGTGTCTATAGCCTGTCCCTGCAGGCCTTTTAATGTAAACACGGCGGCACTGCAGCACCGGCGTTAGTTTACATGGCAAACCATATGGGTGGGGCATTGTGATGTCACATGGGGGGGGGCGGCAAACTTTACTTTTGCCTAGGGCGGCAAAAATCCTTGCACCGGCCCTGGCTGGAGGGGGCTGTGTGAGCTGTGGCCGCACAGTGTCCCATGGTAGTTAGGGTGCCTTGCGGCCAGTACAGCTCACACAAGCAAACAGCTAATAAACTGGCCGCACGGATGAAATGTGTATGTGTGACTGTCTGCCTGTGACTGTGTGTGACTGTCTGCCTGTAACTGAGTGTGTGACTGTCTGCATGTAAATGTGTGTGTGTGGGGCTGCAGGGATTTTGTAGAAGGGGGCTGGGGTTTTGTATTGGGACAGGAGTCTTTATAAGGGGGGATAAGCGGGGGTTTTGTAGACGGGGCAGTACAGGATTTGTAGGGCAGGACAGAGGTTTTGTAGGAGGGGCGGGGCAGGACAAGGGTTTTGTAGGAGGGGCTGACAGCGGTTTTGCAAAGTTTACAAATTATAAAAAAAAAAAAGAGAGAAAACCTTCAACATTTTTTACAGGGTTTTTTTTTTGGGGGGGGGGTCCCAAGCACAGGATCCGCCCCGGGTGCCAAATGCTCTAGGTACGCCCCTGTTAGTATGCCCTAAAGGAAAATGGCCCCTAGAACAAAAGAAGGTTGTCCTTAAGTGCCTTCACTCTGCCCTTAGTGAGGTCATATCTGCCCATATATCGTGTCAGTTCTGGCCATCCATGGCTGACGAGATCTACTCCTATCATGCTCATCCTATCTTAAGACATGCTGTCTTCCTTAATTCCCACATATTATGAACAAGAAAGTTACAATTACTAAAATAATCCTGCTAATGTTTCCCTATATCAGAAAAGTGTCTGTGACAAGTGATGGTTAATATGTAGAAAGGATATATATACTGATTCACGTGTTAAGTAACAATATGTTTTAACTTTGTGTACAAAAAAAATTGATAACATGCTAGAAGAAGGATTACTAAAAGAAATTTCTAATAAACAAAGATTTCTTGAACAAATGGTAATACAATTAAAGATTGGTCTCAAGATGTTTTGATCTAATTGAAAAAGAACCAGAAAACATTATGAGCCTAACTACTAACAAATGGATAAGGGGGGAGTGTATTCCAATCTGTCTTTATTGGATAATGTTAACCACCAAGATTAACCCCTTAAGGACGGAGCCAAATGTACACAGTGTGAACGAAACAAAATGTAAACAAAACCTGGCATTTGCGCTACATGTCTGTCCAACCGTAATACACCTCTTTCATAGTAAATGCACCCACCCTTATTATATATCATTTTATTCAGGGGAAACAGGGCTTTCATTTAATATCAAATATTTAGCTATGAAACATAATTTAATATGAAAAAAATGGGAGAAAATAAGATTTTTTTGATTTTTTTAGTTCTACATGACATTTTAACTGTCAATGTCATAATACTGTTTGCTTTTACTGCAATAAAATACACATATTTGTATTCAGCAAAGTCTCACGTGTAAAACAGTACCCCCTATGTACAGGTTTTATGGCGTTTTGGGAAGTTACAGGGTCAAATATAGCACGTTACATTTGAAATTGAAATTCGCCAGATTGGTTACGTTGCCTTTGAGACTGCATAGTAGCCCGGGAATGAAATTTACACCCATAATGGCATACCATTTGCAATAGTAGACAACCCAAGGTATTGCAAATGGAGTATGTCCAGTCTTTTTTAGTAGCCATTTGGTCACAAACACTGGCCAAAGTTAGCGTTAGTATTTGTTTGTGTGAAAAATGCAAAAAACGCCAATTTTGGCCAGTGTTTGTGACTAAGTGGCTACTAAAAAAGACTGGACATACCCCGCTTGCAATACCTTGGGTTGTCTACTATTGCAAATGGTATGCCATCATAGGAGTAATTTTCATTCTTGGGCTACCATAGGGTCTCAAAGGCACCGTAACCAATCTGGCGAATTTTAATGTGAAAAAAATGAAACGCAAGCCTTATATTTGACGCTGTAACTTTTGAAAACACCATAAACCTGTACATGAGGGGTACTGTTGTACTCGGGAGACTTCGCTGAACACAAATATTTGTGTTTCAAAACAGTAAAAAGTATTGCAGCAATAATATCATCCGTGTAAGTGCTGTTTGTGCGTGAAAAATGCAAAAAACCTCACTTTTACTGGCGATATCATTGTTGTAATACATTTTACTGTTTTGAAACACTAATATTTGTGTTCAGCGAAGTCTCCCGAGTAAAACAGTACCCCCAATTTACAGGTTTTATGGTGTCTTGGAAAGTTATAGGGTTAAATATAGTGCTAGCAAATTAAATTTCCTATACTTTCGGCATGGGTTGTCAGGCAGGTCCCGCTAATTGTAATTAATTAGGATACCTAATTATGTAAAAATATTACATAAATATATGTGTAGAATTAATATATGTATATATATACATATGTGTATATATACATATATATATATATATAATTTTTTAAATATTTTTATTTATATATAGGTGTATATATTTAGTGATATATATGTATATATTTATATATATAGATATATATATTATTTCGTTCTACGTGTATTTTGATATAAATATATATATATTAATATCACAATACAGTTAGAACGAAATAACAAACATCTATATAATTTTTTATTATTTATTTTTAATTATTTTTGTAATTTAATTTTTTTTACGTATTTACATTTTTTTATATTATATATAAATATATATATATAACAATAATTATATATATATATATTTAATCAGTATTAGTCTACGTGTAATTTGATAGTAATATATATATAAATAATTATATATATTAATATTTAAATACACTTCGTGTATGTGTAAATGTGTGTGTGTGTGTGTGTATGTGTATATATATACTTAGATCATATATATACATAATATATATGATCTAAGTATATTTTATATTTAACTGTAATTTTTTTTTTTTTTACTAATATTTTATTTATTTTTACAGGACAGGGGGCAGAGACAGTGTCAGCCAGTGATTTTACATCACTGGCTGACACACAGGATCAGTGATCACAGTGACTGCCTGTCACTGTGATCACCTCCTGCAGATTGGGTAATTGGCCACAGGGGGGAGTGCCTGGGTGGTACAAGCACTCCCCCCTTCCAATCTGCAGGGGGATCTTTGTGCCAGTTACATGTGTCAGCCAATAGGCTGACACATGTAACACTGATCGCAGTGACAGGCTGTCACTGCGATCAGAGCGCTCTGAGATCGCAGTGACAGCCTGTCACTGCGATCTCAGAAGGTAGCAGATCGCGGTCACTGACCCCAGGGGGACTGCCTGGGGGGCCAGGTAAGTCCCCCGACCGCGATCTGCACGGGGAGAGCCGCTGGCCACGTGTGTCAGCCGATTTGAAATCGGCTGACACACGTTAAATACTGATCGCAGTGACAGCCTGTCACTGCGATCAGTGACTGCAGATCGCGGTCACCGGCCACAGGGGGGGTTGCCTGGGGGGCCGGGCATCCCCCCCGACCGCGATCTGCAGCGGGCGAATAGCGCCGGCCACGTGGGCGGCCATTAAAGTGAGGGCGTACTATTACGCCCGCCGGCGTTTAGAGCCGGCTCCTGCAGGGCGTAATAGTACGCCCTCCGTCCTTAAGGGGTTAAAGACTGACTAACATATTTTTTTTTAATGTAAGCCCAGATATTTTATTATTATATATGCATAGAAGTCGAGACTTTGGGCATTATAGTGTATTGATTCTAGATCTGTTACTAGCAGCAAGTGCTTAGCCTTATGCCTATCCCACGCATGCTTAAACACTCCTTTACTGTGTTAACCTCTATCACTTCAGCTGGAAGGCTATTCCATGCATCCACTACCCTCTCAGTAATGTAATACTTCCTGATAGTATTTTTATTTAAACCTTTGTCCCTCTATTTTTGAGACTATGTCCTCTTGTTATGGTAGTTTTCCTTCTTTTAAATATAGACTCCACTTTAACTGTGTTGATTCCCTTTGTGTATTTAAATGCTTTTATCATATTTCCCCTGTCTCCTCTTTCCACTAGGCTATACATGATAAGATCCTTTAACCTTTCCTGGTAAGTTTTATCCTACAATCCATGAACCAGTTTAGCAGCCCTTCTTTGAACTTTCTCTAAGGTATCCATGTCCTTCTAAGGATATGGTCTCCAGTACTGTATACAGTACTCCAAGTGAGGTCTCACCAGTGTTCTGTACAATGGCATGAGCACTTCCCTCTTCCTACTGCTAATACCTCTCCCTATACAACCAAGCATTCTGCTAGCTTTTCCTGCTGCTCTATTACATTGTATATTGTCATTAACAGCCAGAAACTGGAAACCAGAAAGGATAAATTAATGTATAGCTAAATGTAAAGCTTAACAAAACCTCCATTATCTTTTTCATTTATCTCGCAGAAAAACAATGTTATTTGTCTATTTTGTAAGTTTTAATACATTATCAGTGAAGAGTAAAATAAGTTTTATCCCTTTTGCGAGACATAAAATTGCGATAATGTATATTTGTGATGTAAGTAAGAGTTATATTTTATGATAGGTTGAAAAAAAAAAAAGAGAGAGTCAGGGATAGCGTCTGTCTCTACGAGCAAAAGTCTGGTGTGGGAGATGTAGTGGACTAGCCACTGCGGGATACCCACGGAGTGAAGCGTTCGAGGCCTGTACAGACAGATGTGCTTGTTAGCCTTTTATTATTTTTCTCTAGGGAAAGCATAGGGCCAGTTAAAAGTTGTTGTACATGGGCTATTTGCAGCCTCCATTGCATTTCTACTTAGTTCTGATTTCTGATGTATCCTCCACTGCTACATACCCACGCCTCCAGAGAGACCTGTCTGCTCCCTTACCTGCCCACCCCTGCCTACTCCTACTCCTACTCCTCCTCCTACTCCACCTTCTCCTCCTTCTATCTTCTCTCTCCTCCTCCTCCTCCTCCTCCTCTTTCTCCTCCCTCTACTTCACCTTCCACTCCTCCTATTCCTCCCTCCCACTCCACCTTCCCCTCCTCCTACTCCACCTTCTCCTCCTCCTACTCCTCCCTCCTCCTCTTATTCAATCCTACTCCTCCTATTCCTCCTTCTACTCCACCTTCTCCTCCCTCTACTCCACCTTCTCCTCCTCCTACTCCTCCCTCTACTTCACCTTCTACTCCACCTTCTCCTCCCTCTACTCCACCTTCTCCTCCTCCTACTCCTCCCTCTACTTCACCTTCTACTCCTCCTACTCCTCCCTCCTACTCCACCTTCTCCTCCTCCTACTCCTCTCTCTACTCCACCTTGTCCCCTACCTGACAACATTATATTTTGAAAAAAAAAAAAAAAAAAAGTTGCTCTGGCCCCTCTTCCGCCACTTCCCAGGGGGGAATACCACACTAACAAAAAAAAATAAAAAAAAAAAATTATTATTCAGACTGTTTTGGGCACTCTCAAGGAAATAGTGCGGTCCTGACCCAGATTCCCATGGAAGTAAGACACCTGTATCATCACTGGGAGGTGGCTGCCCCTCATGTTTTCTTCACTAAGTCCCCAGAAATCTCATAAAAGGAACCTGACTCAATAAAACATGAAACACTAAAAATCGATATCAGCTCTCTACAGAGGGGGGGGCAGCAAGAGAACTGTAAATGGAAAGACAAATACCCTCAATCTCACACAGAAATAGGTGAGGATATCTCTTCTACTACTCCTCATGGTTGCTTTGAACAGATGAAAGAAGAAACAAGACACCTCTCAACAAGGCATGCAGTAGCTTTGCCAGATCCTGACACCACTCTGTTTGCGGATGAAGAGGAAAGGTACCATACTGGATTTGCTGTTGCTACAGAAGATCAGGTACGTCAAGCATCTTTACTTTCCTCACCCACATCTGCTCAAGACACCAAATTGACAGCCTTCTCAGTGGCATGCAAAATGTTAATCTGGAAGACAAGAAGATTTCACACAGCGACTGGCACACCAGTTAAGCATAGCACGGCTATTAAGAAATTGGTGGATGCCCTACTACTCCTGCTGAAGAAGTGGCCTTGCCTAACAAGCCGCAAGTGCACTAAGGAAAGTGGACAGAAGAGTGTCCGCTGAAGAAACTTCGATATTTACCATGAAGATCCTATCCACGGATCTCAAGATCCTGAAAGAATGACAAGCAGCTGCTGATCCTGAAGAAATACAAAGCTGGAAACAGAAAGGGGCAACCCTTAAAGACTTAAAGACGAGCTGTACTCCAACACTCTTAAGTTCTGTTTACCGGAAAAACATGTACTGGGCAGTGGGCCCATGGAGTTTTTTTTATACCTATCCAAGACCCTCATGAACACTTTGATCAATAAATTTTCTGAAGCACCTAGAATTACTTCTCTAATCAACAGTTACTGCCGATCCTGTGTCATTTGTGCCAAGGACAGCTCAGGCAGAAGAGGAAGAGAATTCTAAGCACCTAGCTAACTCTCACTATCTCTTTCAAGAATCCAAGTGACTATATCCAGGTGCCAAAGAGTTGCTGGTTCAAATATGCACTAGTCATAATGGACATTTTGCCAGGATGGCCAGAGGCCTAGTCGGTCATCAGTGTGACAACCAAGACCATATACCCAATAGTGCATTGTGAAAGTTGCAGAGATCACTCAGT